AATTGGATCATAATTACAAAACTCCGCCATTCCGAATTTCCTAATTTCGAAAAAAAAAATCATAATTTCAGACCTCGAGAACCCCCAGATACCAGTTTTGAATGGAATCTGACCATAATTACAAAACTCGTCCGCCATATTGAATCCGCCATTTTGAATTTCCTAATTATGATGAAGTAATCATAATCTATGACCTCGAAAACCCCCAGATACCAATTTTGAATGGAATCTGACTATAGTTACAAAGCTTGCTCGCCATATTGGATCCGCCATCTTGGATTTCCAAAATTTGACGAAATATTCATAAACTCCGACCCCGAAAACCACTAAGTACCAATTTTGAATGAAATCGGATAAGTATACTCGTCCGCCATGTTGGATCCGCCATCTTGAATGTTCGATTTAAAAAATAGATAACGACCGATTCTCATACCTACCGAATACGCACAAAAAATTTCATACGAATCGATCGAGCCGTTTCGGAGGAGTTCGACCACTAACACCGTGACCGTGACAGGAGAATTTTATGTATTAGACTAGCTGACCCGGCAAACGTTGTTTTGCTATAAACATAATTTCTAGAAAAATATCATTAGGTGAATATTGATGAAATAAACCTCTGGTGCGCTCACTCTTCATTTGTTTCGTCAAACTGGTTCTTGATATAAACAATTGAATTTCAGACGATGACGTGGGGTTCACATATCGAATGTTAGATGGCGTGATTCTTAGAACTTATCAAGGTTGGTAGAACTGATGACTATTTTGTAGAGGAAGGTTGCCTCGATCGCACCCCGCGAGTAACCTTGAGTAACTCATTTGCACGAAAAGTGTAGCACTTTCGTACACTTCGTGTATGATATGTACGCCGGCGCATGTATTGAGTTGACGTTTGTCAGTATTTTCCAATATTTGAACCATTTTGAACTAAAAAATGTAAAAATGATAATTTGTTCGGTCACTTCTTGTTAAAATTCGTACAAGTGTAATAAGACTAGTGTATTTAGTTTGTGTTTCCATTAATTTCCACAAGATGAGTCTATTCGTGAGAAATGGATTCAATTTTGTGGACGTAATTTTAATTAATTTAATACCAAAACTTGGCGAATATGTTCTGCCCATTTCGATGCCGACCAAAGAGAAGAAAACTCAAGGTAGGAATCCCATCAATAATACCAAATACAACAAGAGAAACACCATAAGTATGGAAGTTTGGAAAAATGATCAGAACCAGACCAGTTGTGAATGTTGAGATTCTTGCTGAACGGGTAAAATGGACATCAGAAGATATCACACGTGTTTTCAAGTTGAGGTATTTGAGCAAGAGTACGTTACCCAACGAAGAGGAACTATGTTTATTTGAGAGATTCCTTGAACTATCCTTTATTATAGGTTCACTTATAATAGTAGTGTTATTTTTCTTTAATTTCATTCAGAATCATATTTTGTTATTTTTTTATGCTCAAATACTTCGATCAATTGCTCTGTTTTTGACTACAATATAATCAAACAATGAAATACTATTTCCTCTTGTATTTTCTATAGGTATCTAGGAAAGTTTGTTAATTTTTCAGAATACAGAGTTATATTGATAAAATAAGTGATCTGTTGTGTACGAATATTGGTCCACTGCTACTACTTCTGGATCATCAGTTGATTATTCTTATATTTTCTGCAGTTTCTTGTTCAAATTATCTGATTTGCAGGATTTTATAGGATGAGTAGGTTCATAATCAATGCATAAGTAATCACTAGCTCCATAATTATGATCCATACCTCAAAAAACACACATACCTGGTACCACGACCTGGTAAATAGCCCCTGGAACAAAATTTCAGATAGGTATTCCCCTCTGTACTACTGATCCATCCAAAATTGCCTTCTCATTTCGAAGATTGAAGGTATTATACAGAAGTATATGTAAAAATCCATATTTTATAATGGTACTTACTTATAATTATATACTATAAATTAATATAAATATGCTGAGCAGACCAAAAAGTTTGTATCATGTTTGTATACTCTATTTGGTAAACATTTAATGACATGTCGCTTTAAGGTTGACAACGTCGTCTTACTGCCTGTGACGTCACGAGTGACCGTTTCCCCCCTTGCCGCACTATCGATCGAGGCAACCTTCCTATACAAATCATAATCAGTTCTACCAACCTTGGAACTTATGATCAACATCAGTTCTACCAACCTTGATGCGGCTAAATCGCAAAATGTATTCCCTATCTTCATTGGTCACAATTCGGTCACAATTGTCACATTGATGCCTGTAATTTTGGTACGGCACCAGACTAAATTTAGCGACATTCACCCACACCATGTTATGTTCATCGAAGTAGGCGAAAATCAAGGAATTGTAAAACAGGAAAGGATTGAAGTACGTACACCAGAGGTTTATTTCATCAATAGGTAAATATTTATCAGAAAACTTCCATCATTTTCTTTCTACTTCTTTTTAGTTTGCCAATCAATAGAAGCGGGATTCTTTGGTTTTTCAAACTACTCTATTTATTTTCTACTTCTTTTTAGTTCGGTACCCTATACCTCTTTATTGTTTCAAACTACTCTTTATTTTCTACTCACCTCTTTTTAGTTTGGCTGTAGGTATCTATAAAAAAGTGTTTCATTAGTTTCTCAAACTAATATTCAGTACAATAGCTGATACCCGGCAAACATTGTTTTGATATACAATTATTTCTAGAAAATATTTTTTTCGTTGGATATTTATCAACATGCTTTTATTATATTGTTTTCTAATTCTTCTCCGACCCCGAAAACACCCAAATACAGATTTTGAATATAATCGGATCATAATCACAAAACTCAGTTGCCATATTGTATCCTCCCTCATATACAAATTTGGAATGGAATCGAATCATGGTTACAAAACTCGTCTGTCATCTTGGATTTTTACATTTTGATGAAAGAATCATTATCTCCGACTCCGAAAACCCCTTGATACCAATTTTGAATAGAATCTGACCATAATTACAAAACTCGTCCGCCATATTGGATCCACCATTTTGAATTTCCAAATTTTGACGAACGAATCATAATCTTTGACCCCGAAAACCCTCAGATACCGATTTTGAATATAATTGGATTATAGTTACAAAACTCGTCTGCCATATTGGATCCGCCATATCGAATTTCCTAATTTTGATGAAAAATCATAATTCATGACCTCGAAAACTATCAGATACCAATTTCGAATAGAATCTGAGCATAATTACAAAACTCGTTCGCCATATTGGATCCGCCATCTTGAATTTTCAAAATTTGACGAAAGATTCATTATTTTCGACTCGAAAACCTCTAAATACCAATTTTGAATGAAATCGCATAACAATACTCGTCCGCCATATTGGGTCCGCTATCTTGAATTTTCGATTGAAAAAATAGATTACGGCCGATTCTCATACCTACCGAATACGCACAAAAAATTCATACGAATCGGTCAAGCCGTTTCGGGGGAGTTCGACCACTAACACCGTGACCGTGACATGAGAATTCTATAATATATATTAGATTTGTTCGTCTCACAAACACTCTGAGAACCACCCCTTGAAATATGCCCAGATAATTGAATAGTATTATCGCGTCGCCTAGTTTTCATAATATGTCCGAGTAATATGTGTAACATTGGCAACGGTGTAAACGGGTTTGAATTTATCATCTCTCCTAAGCGCCATCTGCTTGCAATACAATGCACCATTCCTCTCTGCCGCAGTCTGTCATTTCGAACACTGCCATCTATCAGGTAGTGCCTGAACTACCACATCCTAGTTTTCTGCATTATATTCTTTCAAGAAATGGAGTTTACCGGGATCAGCTGGGATGAATGGATATTTTGTTGACAGAATAATCGTTTTAGTTGCTTTTTGATAAAATGGAAACATTTCAGGAGCTAATATTTCTGTGACATCTCGCCGAATTTTCAACAATTGTACTGAGATCAAAAATATTTCAATTTGAGACAAAAAAATTTCAATGTTTACGTTTTTCAAGAATCTGTATCTTCTATAAATGAATGAGTTTCGACTCCGTATGATAACCGGACCCTAGTCCCAACCTTCCTCTTTACGATGATTTAATTAATTTTTCAATTGAATCTTTCAAAAACCCAAAAAGCAGAAAATAGTTCAGGCCTGCATGAAGATTTGATTGAAACTCTCCTCTTAAGATCCGAATCTATTATAAATTTTTATCTGGTGGTTTTTCGGGTCAAAGATTATGATTCTTTGTAAAAATCAGAAAACTCGAGATGGTAGATCAAATATGGCGGACGAGTTTTTAATTATGATCCGATTGTAGTTGATTACGATTCTTCCGTTAAAATTGGAAAATTCAAGATGGCAGATCCAATATGGTGAACGAGTTCTGTAATTATATGATCTGATTCTCTCAGTATTGGCATCTTGGTTTTTTCGGGGTAGGAAATTATGATGCTTTCGTCAAAATTGAAAAATTCAATATGGCGGATACAATATGGCGGCCGGGTTTTGTAATCATGATCCGATTCTATTGAAAATTAGTATCTTGGAGTTATCGTTGTCGGAGATTATGATTCTCTCGTCAAAATTTAGTACATACAAAATATATAAAAAACACCTAGAAAAAAGCTTTTGTAGGTAGTTATTAATAGTCGATAGAAAATAAATAGTTCAAAAAAACTGAAAAAACATACTTTTATAGATAGCCAAACTAAAAAGAAGTAGAAAATGAATTAATAAAAGTGTGTTGATGGGTACACAACAAAGAATGTACTGATGACGGAAGTGCTAATATTTGCTTTGTTGTTTATTCATCAACACCTTTCATTACGTACATTTTTTCTCCTCTTCAGTTTGGATATCTATAAAAGGGCATTTCTTTAGTTTTTTGAACTACTTATTCTTGGAAAATCATCATTTCAAAAGCCATTCAGAAAGGATTTCGTTTTTCATCAAATAAGAAACAGAGAAATCTCTATCTGTAATTATAATTATTTTTCAGATAATTATGGCTGAATCATTGGAACTTCAAGATGCTTTGTTATCGATGAAGTGTTGCCTGTGCAAGAATTATCTATCAGTGCCGCCAATAATATCGATTTCCGAAGATGGGAAACAATTGAAATGTGGAAGGTGTGAAAAAATCAAAAAACCATTGAGAACTAGGAATTTTGCTTTTGAGAATATCGTGAAGTTTTTCAAATTTCCTTGTATCTATGATGATTGCAATGAGATGATTCCGTGGGAGGATGTGGAAAGACATGAAGACATTTGTGAGAAAAAAACTATCAGTTGTCCAATTCATTACGTATGTGAAGACATTGTTCAGGTGCAGAATTTGGAGGAGCACATGAGAAAAAATCATGGAAGCAATTGTTTTTCAGATGGATACCTAACTGCGGAAGTGAATTTAAATCGTCATATTATTTGTTCTGTTATTTCAAATAACCAACAGTTTCTTGTGTCGATTCAACATAATATAAGTACACCAGAGGTATATGTTGCTTCGCTGAACAGTATAAATGAATGTTTCACATATAATTTGAAATTATCCAGCATTTCTGAAGACTCATATTCTCTTTTAATTGAAAATCAGCCAATCAATAAATATGATGACAGGGGTCATTGTTTTGGATGTATAATGAATAAATGTTGTGTATTATATCATCCGCATTCAACGGTAAATGGAAATATACCTGTAACTGTGAATTACATGAAGATTGATCCAACTCATATAAAACATGTATTAGGTGATATTTCTAAGATGAAATATACCATAGAAATCCATCCAAAGAAGGACCTTGAAGAAAATGATAATGATCTGGCTAATGAAAATTTGACAGTGAAAAGCCAAACAAACAATTCAACCATTGTTGATCTGTTGAGAAAGCAGTTACAGTGTCCAATCTGTATGGAATACATGAACGGCAATATTTATAACTGCGAAATAGGACATGTAGTATGCGATGTGTGTAAAATTCAACTGACTAAGTGTCCAGCTTGTCAAACAAAAATTGGAGAATCTAGGAATCTCCCTTTGGAGGATTTAGCTGATGAAATAGTGTTCGCGTGTTCATTTTTCAAAAATGGTTGCGAGTTTACTGGAAATTTGAAATTGCTTCCTCAACATGAAGAAAATTGTGATCAAAAGCAGCAGGACTAACACAATTCCATGAAGAAAATGATGATGTTATCACCAATTATTATAATTTTCCATGGTCTCCTACCACAGATTATATTATATTATAAATTTTTCTCACAATTGCTTATTACCGAAGTTTTTCAGTTGAGTTTCAAATAAAAAATCATTTTCATTGGACAGTTTTTTAGTGAGTTCTTTTTGGTTAGAGAGACACCTGTATATTATTGGAAATGTGGAAATCTGCTGAAATTTGCTTTCTATCTATGTAGGTGTCGTATTCTTAGATATTAGAATCACCCAGTATCCTAGACTATTCGATATATGTCAATAGTTCATGACATACGATAATAAGTTTTTCAAGCCCTTCTAATATATCCCAGTTCTATACAATAGTAGGTATATCATTAATTTGTGAAAAATGTTCCTGAATGGCATCTCCATTCGGTTTTTGTTACAGACCATGATTACTGAAAGTTTTCCTAACGCTGCGATGTTGTGACAGTCTCCTAATAATATCGACATTTTCGTCACTTCTGAAGTTGCAAATACCTTCAAAAACCATGGAACGAAACTATTCAAACAAAATTCTTTATGAATTTGTTAATTATTTTTCACAGTGTGATGAAATCATCAGCGGGACAGAAAGTTCGATAAAATGTATCCAAATCTACCGCCAATGAACCTCAAAAAATTTCAAAACCGAAAATCCAAAATGCTCAAAGTGGAAGTGGCTAAATCGAAATCAATAGGCATTCAGGAAAGAATCACTTGTATCAGTACTCCTTTATACGAATCGATGCATAGATTTCGAGAGGATGTAATTCAATATGTATTCTGCGTGGCATTATAGCCAGGAAAGTAGTTGTTTTTCTCTCGAAATCTACCATTATTGTTCATTTTATGAACATTGTATGGAAATGATTTTGAGCTTCTTGTATTTATTTGAAATTTCATTCCACTTTGAGCATTGTGGCTATTTCGTAGTTGAAATTACGCCAGTCGGGCAACCAGACACTCCCGTATGGAAATTTTGATTTTGGAGTGTTTCTTTTCTTCTTTTCTACTCAGATGGCGTTGCTCTCATATTGTCTATGGGGGACGCCACTGAGGGAATATCATGCCGACTTGATTTCTGTTCGGCTAGGCTAGGCGGTCTCAGGACTATTAGCTGAAGACTGCCCTGCACTGATGAGAATCAAAGAGCTCGAAACCGGTCTGTAGGTGTCTAGTGTGGCCTGGCTGAATCGAAATCAATAGATACAGAACTCAAACTAATTTCCACAAAAGCGAATACTTTCCTGGCTAATGCCACGCAGAAATCTTTGCATCGATTCCTATAAACGAATACTAATGCAACACTGAGAAAAGTAAGTAATTTTGTAAGTGATTTTATTCAATTCAGATATAAACAGAACATCTATATGTATAAGTATGTATGTGATATAATGAGATAACTAAAGAGGTTTGCAGCTACCTAAGCATGCTTGTATTGTAGCCTGCAGACAAGATTAATTATCCCAATCCTGGCAATATACAATTTGTACATAGTGATGATATGATGGAGAGAGACAGATGAAAATAATAGAAATAGAAGTAGAGAAAGAGAGATAGAGAGAGAAGAGGGGAGAGTGATATGATATTCGTCGAGATTTTCAGAATAGTAGATATTTATCTGTCCAGAATCAATTTAAGCATTTCAAAATCTCTTTTACTAATTTTTTCAACTCTATTTCGAATTTAAATTGTTTTCGTATATATTTTAATGATACAGGTATTGCATTATGAAGTTTAGGTAGTAGATACAATATAAACTTCTGATTATGTGTGAGCCTCTACTGTCAGTGATGTAAGTGATCTATGATCTATGATCTGATTGTCAATATGTCAATGTTTCATGACACATGTCCAAATGATGAAATAAAGAAGTTGCTATCTAGACCTCAACCGAACAGGTATAATTTATAACCTCTCCTCCAAACCTATCAAACATGGCGCAGTCGTGAACGAACCAAGTTCCCTAAAAAAGGAAAAATTGAACAGGAGATTAATAATTTTTCTCGAGATTGTGGGAAATATTTCACAGAAGGTGAATATTAAATACTATTTAATAATTAAAAATAAAAGAAAAAGCTGGAAACATAGCCGATGATTATGGATTTCCGAGAGGAATTCCACTCATGTGCATGTCTGGAAACTTATCAGAAAATTGGAAGTTCTGGAAACAAAAGTTTGAAATGTACTTGAAGGCAACCGAGATAAGTAGAAAGGAGGAAAGTACAAAATGTGCACAACTTTTAACATTGATTGGAGACGAAGGAATCAGAATATATAATACATTCAAAACAGAAGGAGAAGAAATTGAAACTGTGGACAGTCTACTGAAAAAGTTTGATGAACATTTCAACCCCAAGAAGAATTTGACGTTTGAACGCTATAAGTTCTTAACATTCAAACAAAAAGAGGGACAAACCATAGAGCAGTTTGTAACAGAGCTCAAAAATCTCTCTCTTTCATGTGAATTTGGCACGTTGAGAGAAGCTTTAGTCAAGGATATGTTGGTATGTGGATTGAAATCTGAACGACTTCGTGAGAGACTACTACAAGAAGATACTAAAACTGTTGAGGATGCGATTAAGATGTGTATCAATGCTGAAAATACCAGGGATTATAATAGGCAAATAACAAATGGGTTTGCTGAAGGTAGTTCGGAGATAGATGTCCTGTATTCCAGTCAACCGAGGAAGTATCAACAGTCAAAGACAGGTACATTCAAGAAGAATCACATACGTCAGAGCAAGGAGCAGAGTAACTGCCGGAAATGTGGTCGATTACATGGCTATCGAAAATGCCCAGCCTTTGGACAGAAGTGTGACAGATGTGGTATCATGAATCATTTTACTAACTATTGTAAAACTAATGTTAAAAATTCACATCAAAACTTGTCAAAAAATTCAAGATATAACACACATAGAACACAAAATTTCAATAGAAAAATTCACTGTGTGGAACATAATATAGATAATGATGTAGATTCACAAGATGTTCTCTTTATAGGTAGTATCGAGTCGACCAACAACCAACCTAAGGAGATTGGGGCACTGAGTGGAGAGTCTTGGATGGTGGACCTTGAGGTTAATGAAAATCACTCCATTACGTTCAAAATGGACACTGGAGCAATGGCAAATGTAATACCAGTAAGTCTGTTGAGTAAAATCAACTATGATATAACTAAAATGCAAAATACAAATGTTAAATTGAGTTCTTATACAGATCATAGCTTGCCAGTGATAGGACAATGTTATCTAAAATGCAGAAAGCAAAATAAACAAGTTGAATTGATATTTTATGTTGTGAAAACAGAAAATTTTCCAATATTAGGACTCAAAGGGTGCCTTGAATTAGAACTTATAAAAAGAATAGAAACATTAGAGAATTCAGTTCATAATGAAGAAATAGATAAAGTTTTGAATAAATATAAAGATATTTTCAATGGTATAGGTTGTCTAAAAGAGACATATCACATAGAATTAGATAGTACAGCTAAACCAACAGTGTATCCACCAAGGAAAATTCCATTTGCATTGAAAGGAAAATTGAAATCAACTTTAGATAAACTAGAAAAAACAAATATAATCAAAAAAGTAACTGGTAGTGCAGAATGGGTAAATCCCATGGTTATAGTGAAAAAAGCGGATGGAACCCTAAGAATTTGTTTAGACCCAACAGATTTAAATAAATATATTAAAAGGCAAATTTTCCAAATTCCTACTTTGGAGGAAATAACAGCAAAAATGGCTAACTGTAAGTTTTTTAGTACACTTGACGCAACCCAAGGGTTCTTACAGATAAAATTAGATACTGAGAGTGCAAAATTGTGTACTTTTGCTACACCTTTTGGTAGGTATTCTTTTTCTAGGCTTCCATATGGTCTTTCCTGCTCTCCGGAAGTATTTCAGGAACGTATGTTCAACATATTTGGAAATATAGAAGGTTGTGATGTCTATATTGATGACATTATAATTTTTGCTAAGACGATTAATGAGCATAATAGAATAATAGATAGAGTATTGAAAATAGCTAGTGATCACAATATAAAGTTCAACAAAGCAAAATGTAAGTTCTTAGTTAAAGAAATCAAATATTTAGGACATAAGATAAGTGAGAAAGGTATAGAACCAGATGAGTCCAAAATACAGGCTATACTAGATATGCCAACACCAAAAAATGTGAAAGATGTTCAAAGATTTTTGGGTATGGTCACATATATAGGTAAATTTGTGAATAATTTGACAGATAAAACAGCAAATTTGAGAGCTTTTCTGAAAAAGGATACAGTTTTTGAGTGGAATGAAAATCATGATAAAACATTCACTGATTTGAAGAAAGCATTATCTGAAAAACCTTGTTTACATTTTTTTGATATTAGTGAATCAACAACTATATCTGTAGATGCATCCCAATATGGGATGGCAGCCGTCTTATTGCAAAAAGAAAGGCCTTGTGCTCATGCATCAAGAGCTCTAACAGAGACTCAGAGTAGATATTCCCAAATAGAGAAAGAGTTATTAGCATGTTGGTTTGGGATAACAAGATTTGCTCAATTTGTTTATGGTAAAAAATTTATAGTGGAAACGGATCATAAACCTTTGATAGCAATAATTAAAAAGCCCTTACATCTTTGCCCTCCCAGATTACAACGAATGTTGATTCAGCTAAAAAAATATAACTTTGATCTCATATATAAACCTGGAAAAAAGATTATAATAGCGGATACGTTGAGTAGAGCTTTCAGATCAGATGTAAATTTCAATGAAAATCAAGATTTTGAGATAGAGGCAGAAATATGCAGTTTAGAACTTACTCTAAATTCAACAGAAAATAAGAAACGTGAAATTCAAAAGATGACTAGAGATGATCCAGAACTAACTAATCTAAAAAATATTTAAGAAAGTCCACAGTGCTCAGACATAAAACACTGGCCAGATAATATTAAATTCTATTATAAATACAGGTCTGAATTATCTTTGGTAGACCATCTCATGTTCAAAGGGCATAAATTAATAGTACCCAAAGCACTAAGAAAAGAAATTCTAGAAAAATTGCATTATAGCCATTTAGGCTATAAAAAGTGTTTAGAAAAAGCTAACTTGTCGTTTTAC